CATCCACACTACGCCGGAGGAATTTTGGATTTGTGTTCGGTTATTTTGGGTTTGTGTTGGAAGAAAACTTGGATGAGGAGATCGCATTATTATCGTGACTGCATCGTTTTGGAGAAGCTTTTTTTCCTGGTCCAAGCGAAAACGAAAAGCCGGCGTTTTCCGGTTTGAAGAGTGTTTTCGAAAAACTCCGTTTTCGTGACGGATTAGTGTGGAAGGTAGGCATAACCGCAGAAATAAAGTTGCGTTTTCCAATTTCTCCGGCGTGCAGTGGACACTGCCTTAATCTCTCTCGAGTTATTTTTAGCTGTGCTATCCATTGTCCGGCAAATACAAAATAAATAAATTCCATACTTACATTCAACAATTATATTAGGAGCTCGAGATTTCTATCGCGTGATGAAGCCTGCAAATAATTTTTGTCTATAAGCAGGTCATTTGTCAGACCAAGGACAACTCAGTTTGACCTGACAAAAAACCAGTCTGTTCAGACAAAAAAATGTTTTGCCGTTAGAAATTAAAAATAAGAGACATTGACACATTTTGCTATTTCAGTGTAGACCCTTCGACAAAATGTTGAATAGCTTGAGAGTTAAGTCAATTGAGTGTAAAATCAATACTAACACCAGAAAGGGGACCTATACATTAGGTCAGGTATTATTTTACCCTTGAAAATTAACAAATTTATAAACGTTTGTACCCCTAGTTTGCATCAAGAGAAAATGAGGAAACTCTCTTGTTTGCATTCACTCACTTGATCACACGTGTATAGAGTGTGTGCATTGTCACGCAATAAAAAATAAAATCAAAAGCCATTCAGTGGATAAAGTCAAGAAATTGTGATACTATAGACGATAAATAAAGAAGACAGTTCTCCAAGTTTAAGGTGTGTGCGTTGTCCCAAAGTTGAGATATTCGTCGAAATGTTTCGCGCAAAATTATAGAGGTGGCCGGAAGATACACGACCTCCCCACGAGGAATGGCACCTTTCTTTCGCATGGTGATTTTACCCACAAGTATGACGTAAAATGCGATTTCCTACAGTATTTACAAGTAGTTTCAGCAATACCCCGGCGACTTGTTGAAAAAGCAAAGCAAAACCTGGATGCCAAATTTACTTTTTCACCAGAAAACAGTTTTTTCCAGCTATCACCTTCAATAAATGTGAACCTTCTGAAAATGAAGAGTAAAGATTACTATTGGTCTTTTCAAAACAAATTAGATGCAGAACTTAAGGCGCCTGGAAAATGGACTCGTAATTTGCAGACTAGTGATATAGAATTTAATGTCTACTTCAAAAACCTAAAAGGTATCTGCAAAGAAAATAAACTAAGAGAATTCTACTTTAAATTTCTACACAGAATCATTGTAACGAAAAAGGAATTATGTCTGTATGGTATAGAATGCAACAGCGCATGCGTGTACTGTAAGGAGTCTGACTCGATAAGCCACTCATTCATCCATTGTCGATGGTCAAAAACATTTTTCTCTGAAGTAATTAAATGGTTTAATAAGGAAAACGACACCTCCTACTCACTTAACACAATTGAATTACTCTTTGGGAAATTATCAAATGAACCTGATCCCGGTTCATCCCAGAACATGTTAAAGAAGCTTAACTATGTCCTTCTGTTTGCTAAATACTATATTTTTAACAATAAAACAAGGAAGCTTGAACGAATTTACTAGGAAACTGGAATTCAAGTATCATTCAGAAGGATTTTAAGTCAACATGCAAGTGTAATTATGCCTCGAAATGTACAGAAAAGGGAATTGTAAGTTTCAGAAAAAAAAAAAAACTTTTTTATGATCTGCACGGTATTCGCTGTAAAAAAAGTAATAATAGCTTATTTTCACCGACTAGACGTCATATGCATGTAAAGCAGTATAACGTAGTTTAATGTAGTCTATTTGAAATGTAGTGTAAGTTGTGTAAAGTAGTGTACTTTGGTTAAGTAAATTATATTGTAATATAGTGCTATGTGTTTGAAATTAAGTGTAAAAAAAAAATAAATAATAGAGGTGGCCGGAAAATACTGTAAACATCTGGAACTTACTTTGGCTATCTAGACGACTGATTATCTGAACCGAACCAAGAAACATTTACACAAGCACATTTCCTAATACTTTAACTCCTAAAATGGCTAAAAATCACGAGATAAGTGTACATTTTTCGACAAACGCGATCTTAACTCCATGTCACGCACCGTCATCCTTAGCCTGCGTCACAGACAGTCTAAACCGCCGGTATATTGGGGATTCTATGACACGTCCGGCTGCAACGCAGGCTACGTCATCCTCCGAAACTCAGAATGCGCTGGTTTCCAAACGAAGGACGCTATTGGGCTGGAAAGTTGTTAACCGATACAAATTTAGCACCTCTTAAGCTCGATGAGGATAAAACCTTTAGGGGCTCCTTAGTTTTGGATTTGAGAATTTGATGACGTCACGTGAACACACTCTGCTCCGTATTTTCCCGCGAAATAAGTTTCCCACGACGTCTAAGGAAATCCACGGGAAAATCCCTCGTGAACAGTTTATCAGTATAAAAACTCACAATAACATTAAGAGACTTGAAAATTGGCTGAAATGAATTCTTCGACTATTTCTGCGGGCAAGTTTCCCCTGAAACGTTTCGGCGTCAATTGAATAAAAAATTTGCGTGGTCGTGACTATAAAGCGTGACGAATTTGTACATTCACGCTTTTCAACAAAAAACAAAACCATGTCTGTCTGTGGCACGGTAACTAATTCAAAGTATATTAAAACACAGACGTAAAAAAACCTATGGAGCTATAAAACTGATTTTTGATCATGCGGACTACAAAAACATTTGGTTACGTTTCAGAGGTTTTAAAATTTTTGAAAGCGATTGCATTCAGATAAACAAAACTTGAGAATTTGGGCCGTGTATTTAATAAATCGTTTTCACTGTCACGCAATAAAAAAATAAATCGAAAACCATCCAGTGGAAAAAGCTATGAAATTATGATGTTAGAGAAGATAACTAAATAAGCCACTTCTCCAAGTTTTAGGCCTGTGCGTTTCCCCAAACTTCAGATATTCGTCGAAATGTTTCGCCGATATTTACAGAGCCCGGTACACCAATATGGCGGCCGGAAAATAGTGTAAACATCTGGAACTTACTTGGGCTATCTAGGCGACTGATTATCAGTACTGATCAAACAAGCATTTACATAAGCACTTTTTGTAATGCTTTAACTTCTAAAAAGGCTCAAAATCATGGGATAAGTATATATTTTTCGACAAACTCGATCATAGCCTTGTGTCACGCACCTCCATAACCCTGAAATTCAATATGCTCTGGATTCCAAACGAAGCACGCTATTGAGCTGTAAAATTGTAAACAGATATAAATATACCGCCTCTTGTGCCTGATGAGGACAAAACCTTTGGTGGCTCTTTCGTTTTGGATTTTAGAAAGTGATGACGTCACGTGAAAATGATCTATAGCGAAGTGCGCGAGTGACGTCATAAAAATTTAGACCCCCCACAAGACTCGGATAAACAAACCGGAATGGCGGAAGACTTGAAGCTTTCTTCAAGCGCGAAAGCCACAATTCTCACACAAAACAACGGTGTTCCGGGCTGTAAGTTTGAGGGTGAACCTGAAGACTATACTGTAGAGCAATTAAAACGAAATGTCAAGCGATTTCAAGTATTATTTTGGCTTTGTAGCAGACGAAATTTTCGAGCTTGGACACACTATAAAACCGCAATGTTTTGACGTACGCTGACTCCTGTGTCAACTCTCATAGACTTAGGTCCACAAAAATTACAGTTGAACCCCTCTGAGAGTATTCGATCTTTGTTCAGAAATGCCAAGCGGTTCTAAATAATGTTTTGTTTTTTTTTAGCTTCGGCATACTATTAAAATATCGACGCACAGGCACGGTTGTTAAAAAAAAACCTTGATACCCGGCAGTCAAAAATTTCAAACCATGAAGTCCTTGACCATCATGAATGTCGTATTTTTTTCAATTTATATCTATTACAAACACACTTTTTAAACTGGCCGTCGAATATCGAATAAGCTGCTTTAAAAGCTTTATAGCCAACAGTTGCACTGTTCTAGAAACTGCAAACTCTTCAGTCAATCAGTGGGTCATGGTATCAACAATGTCACGCAACTTGTGTTTCCTGCCTAGACGTTTCTGACCCGAGATCGATCAAAATACTAAATACTGTCGGGAGGTTTCAAATAATAACACTATTTTTTTGATTATCTATGAACTTAATTTTTGGCTGCTGGGTATCCAGTTTTTTGAACAACCGTGCCTGTGAGTCGAGAATTCGTCCACTACGAAACCAAGACATTATTTAGAATCGCTTGGCATTTCTGAACAAATATTGAGTACTTTCAGGGGGGTTCAACTGTAATTTTTGTGGACTCAAGTCTATGGGAGTTGACACCGGATTCAGAGTGTGATATTTTCAAAGTGTCAAAACATCGTTTGTTCACCAAGACTCTTGGCTGAGGTGCTTTACGCGTCGGGCGAGATGCTTTAATCACTTCATGAGCTGTAAAGTATGCTTTCAAGCGATCGGGAAACTCGTCAGTTGGATCTCTCTGTCTTTTTCAGTGTAGTGTACTGTATGTGTTTCTGGTAATCTCATTGATAGTAAAATGTTCACGGGAACAAGCATTAATCCATCGTTGACAGCGTTCGATTCGTTGCGAAGGCTTCGGAAAGGGTATAAATATTTTCATACCTAATTCCAACATTTGTTTCAGCGATTTATGCAGTTTATCCGGCTATCTGGAATCACTGTTGCATGTTCCTCGCAGCAGTGTTTGGTACTTACCATATTGAGCGAAATAAGGCGGCTAAAACACTTTTTTCAGACGAAACATTTGCCTTCTTCCATCTATTTCTCCCAGAATGCGCTGATGTTTGTCTCAGTCTCGCGGGGGGTCAAAGAGTATGCAATCTCTTTTTAGACCTCGCGCGCTTCGCTATTTGCATAATATTTCAATCGGGTCAAATTACGACTAAAAATTTATTTCACAACACTTGCAGATATCAAACTACGAGTAACAACATAAGAACTCAGGTTTTACTACTTATTCAGACGAACGTAATTCAGACTTAAATGGGGCTTCACGATCTTTCACGACACCACCGCAAAATGCGTAATTTAACACAGATTGAATAGTGGCGCTGATGTGGCGTGTTTACAATTCGACGTGACATTTGTGACGACGCATTGCGCGTGACAAAATTATTTCTCAGAAATGGAATAAAAATGAAACTGCGATAACAAAGCTTTTTTGGGTGTGACAGCGCAATAAAATAACTTGTTTCATATTCGGTCACAAATTTCCAGCTAAAATATTTTTCGTGTAGTAGAAATGCCCGGTGAGACTGCCCGACCTGACTAAGCTTTTACCTGTCAAAACCTCAAATTCACCAGACAATTCTTGACGCTAACTGACATGCGATTGCTATATATGTAACAAGTCTCAAAACCCTCATTCACCAGACAATTGTCCGATGACCGACTGTTATTTGCAGGCTTGCGTGATAGTTGACGAGGACGGCACAACTCGGGTCAACTACTATACATAGAAATCCAGAGCGAATAATGTATTGTCTTAGTATAGGCCTACTAGTCGTGAAAAACGCAAAAACGCCGCCGCCATTTTGTTAACAACCGCGGGCTACTCAACATCTACAAAAGAATAGACAATGAGTAGCGTAATCAACAGAAGAACGGCATTCGTGATAGAGCACAAGTAGATTTCAACTAAAACATAATACATTCAGATCAAAGTGGTTTCCTATTTCGGATTTGCAGAGTAATAATATCTATGTCCAATATAGTCGCTGATACTTAGAAATGAGCACAACTCATAATGAAATCACTCTTTGTTCAAAGATATCCACAACACGCACCTTGCAAGGTTATAACAACAGACTTGCACCCTCACTGAGTGCCTTAATCAGTGATTCGATCAATTGCTTAGAGTTGATTATTTCTTTACAGGCCTCCATCCCTGTATAAACTTAAGTAATTTTTGCTGCTGGAATTTGTCAATTACTCCAAGACATGGTAACGTTTCCTCATTTAGCGTTATGAAAAGCTGTCCATCAATCTGCTCGCTTTCAAACGTTTCCACGTGCTCTCCCATGTTGAGCAGTCTGAGGCATTCGCTCACTTTTGACACAGACAGGTTTCCGAGATCATCCGGGAAACTCTGAGGTAAATCGCGACCCTTCGCTGCCCGCGATGAGGTGGAAGAAGATGACGGAACTGCAAGTGATGATGGAGTCGGGCGCGAACCTTGTGGAGACCCCGAGACGTTAAAAGAGAAGACGGTTGGCGATTTAGGAACGGCCTTCCCAAGCTTGGCGAGAAATCTTTCCTTCATTGAGATTTTCTTAGGTCCTTCACCGAGGTCCAGTTGTTCTTTTGGTGATTCGGGCTCGCCGTAACTGGACGCACTCCATTCCAGTTCATCAAGTTCAGGGTAGATGTAATCTTCGTCCGAACTAAAGTATGAGTTTTCGTCGTCTTCATCCACATTGTCGTCGTTGCCATCATCAAAGTGACGAGGTGGTGCCTCGCGAAACCCAAGCGGCTTTTCTATCGGTGCTTTAAACTCACTGTCAGCCTGCGTGTTTTCATACAGTGGTACTGGGTGGACGCTCATAGACAATGGCGTGTGAGGCTTTGGTTTCGGTTGTGGTTTTGGTTTCGGTTGTGGCTTTGGTTTCGGTTGTGGCTTTGGTGGTCTTGAGGGTGGCTCGGCATCCTCACAAACTTTAGACTGTGTCAAGGGCTTGTGACTCTTAGATGTTGTTCTTGGTGGTATTGGAGGTTTGTTGACATCGATACTATCGTAATCATCACCGGCGTCTGAGTTGTCACTTTGATTCGAGTCCCGACGTTTACGACGGGGGAGCAGTGGTTTTACTTCCGCGTAATCATAGATAACATCAACAGTCGGTTCTTCCAACGTGATAGTATCATGCTTGGAGAAGTCAACCTTTGTAAGCTCAGTGCCATCGTGGATTTCTTTGCAAAATCTGGCGTATTCTTTATCGCCTATTACAGCCCCAAGTGCTGGAAATACATTTACATCCAGATGTTCGGGAATCATTAAAACCGTGACCAAATTGTCATGACGACTGGTAGCAATGACTGTTCTCTCCTCTCGAAATTCTTTTAAGAGAACAGAACCGAGTGACGCCAAATCAACGTTGATGTCATTTACACCTTGTATCGTGGTTTCACCAGAGGTAAACTTCGCTCGGACAGGAAGCATCTTCCTTACTTCCTGCAAATGACACTGCTCGGCATTGGCTAAAGGCTCGAATGCAGCCTTGAAATCTAAAGGAAGCCTCACAAGGTCCCTTGTCTTGTCATGAAATTCACATTCCAGAAACTTGATCCGTTTTTCTTCGACTGTATTCCTGAGTTTCAAGATGTCTCCTGCTCTTATACGTAGTTGAGGAGGACCGTTATGGACAACACGAATGAACTTGAAATCAGCGGAAGTCCAGGCGTCGACAACATCTTCCACGCTGTAATACCTGTCTGCGCTGAATCTGGGAAGTATTTCAAGTTTACATGGGCAATTGAGTGGTACGAAATGCCGCTTGTGATCAGCGGCTTCTACGAGCAGCTTATCAGTTTGTTTGGTGAAATGTAGCGTAAGAATATCGTCGTTCGAAAGTGTTTCAGCTTCTTTGACACTATAGAACCCGTCTTCGACTTTCACCAGTTGTGGAAGAGGGTACCTATCGACGAACGTTTTCAAGGTACACGATTCCTCGCTCCACACAATATTTTCAAACATTACTTCCTCTACAGTATTTACGTCATAAAGGACTAAACCGCGGAACGTACCGTGTTCGGTGAACTGCACATCTTCGGCTGAAACTTTGCGTCGATGCACTTGCTATGAACAGCCCGTTAGAGAGGGAAGACTACGTTCATTATTTCATTTCTTCTCCAGATAACACAGCTAAGTGCAGCTGACGAGCCTATCGTCAATTTACACGGACAGGTAACTATATTGACATGCGTATTAAACCGTGTATGTCATCAGCATTTCTCGACGTCATTCGGTAGGGCTTAATACAAACAACGGCGGCACAATTACATGAAAGAACTCTAAGCAAATTTAGTTCTACGGCCAATTTTGCTTTGAATGAGCCTCAATTTACTCGCGGTTCAGTTTTACTTTCAATTTGTTCGAGATCAAGCGATACAAAATGAAATATAGACAACAGCATGGTTATGCAGTTGAGTAGCCGTGTCATTCCGTTATCGCTGATACGGAAAATGTGGTTCCGGGGGGGACCGGACAGCGGAAGTGCAATTGCATAAAACGAGTTCTGAGGTATTTGTATGTTTAAAAAGGAGGTCTTTATTACTAAAATGTCGTCAAATTTTAGGTTGAAACAATCTAAATAAGAAAAGTGAGTGCGATTTATCCGTCAAAAGCATCCGGATAATAGATAAGTTACAGAGGAAACAACTCGGGATACCCCCTGACTCTCTCAGTGTCACGCGGTCACGCTGAAGGAAATGAGGTTGCGCGAATAACAAACTTAAGCTCATTTATGGACAGAGGAGGAGATTCAGTTCTTGTGATGAGTTTCGCTGCCGTTTAATCCAGATATGAGCCTGCTCGATTCCTCTTTGCTTTGCGAGTTCTTGAGAGAGTGTCAACTCCCCGAAACAATCGAAATTGTCGAAGGATACGATTCAAATGAGTCCGCGGAAATGTCTTGGTCTTCAGGCGAAACTGTTTACCTGCACGCCATGAAGGATGTGACTCAGGTTTTAGCTCTGGATAGGAAAGGAAATCGCTTTTGCATCCCTCTTAACTACCCGGAGAAAATATTCGAGGGTATTCCGAACAGATGCAGCGATAGGTATGAAAATGTTGGAGAACTTATCGTTGACTTTCCGAAATATGTTCGTTCGCTTCAGAACATACCTCATAGTGGTGTTAAAGTTGGCGACATACTTTGTCCTCTTGAGACATCGTCTAAAGTTGCTGGTTGCGCGGAACTCAAGTGCAAGGTAGTAGGAAACGCTCGTCCGGTAACTCTCTCTGAGGACCAGCTTGGACCTTTTGAAACTCTCGAAGACATTGAACCGATTACTATGCGAGACATCACTGACAAGCATCTCCTACCGACACGAGTGCGAGTTCGAGCTGGCGGTAGACGATTCTGCAACCAGACAAACATAAGCAAGGTGATGTTGGAGGGATTGTTTACTATCCAAGAAGTAGCGCAAGAGAAGGTGTTAATTGTTTATACCCTATATGAAAAGGATTTAAGAGTTGTGAAAGTTCCGATTGACTTGGAAATAAGAGTCAAAAGAAAGACTTCTAAACTTGATCCAAAGATGTTCACCGAAATTTGTCGACGAATCGATGAGGAAGTGAACATTGAGTCAACGATCACAACCGGCAACAGGGCCGCATCTTGGTTTTTCGACATCTCAGATACTGAACAAGACATTGAGGCTGCACAACCTGATGACTTCTATGAAGAAATAGTCCCTCGCCTGCCACCAAGATCACCATCAAATAAACCAACGGGGCCAAATTCAAACCAATACACGAGATCAAACAAACCACCGGATAATGAAATACGTTATGTTCTACCTTCCCAGCTGAAACCGCGAAGGAAACCTGACAGTCTTGTCGTTAAAAAGGAAACCGGGAACTCGGGACCACCTCCAGTTGCCAAAAAACCCAGTATGGACAAACGGAATTCTTGTCACTCTCAAATGGTAACGGACAGTGACTGTCCAACTAACACTAATTCGCGAAACGACGTCAAATCCCATACTGAACGAAGAAGGGCAGAAGCACAATCTCACTGCAACCGACCTGAAAAGGCAGGAGATAACACCAGACATAACGGTGGCTCTCAGTCTGTTTCACCAGTTACGCCAAAAGCTGCCAATAAACATCAAGCGTCTGTTTTTTCTAAGGGAAGCACAAAACCGGTTTCCCCTACACTTTGGAAACCGAAGCCAAATGACAACACACAAAATCCACCAAAAGAGAAGTCACCAAACTCTCATCATCCCATTCCACCGATGCACGATTCCATCGTCTCAGAGAAATGCCGCGAAAGTGAAGAGAATCCAACTAAGTTGACCTCGAAAAACATCAAGTCAAACACTATATCAAAAAGGCCAGAAGTAAACAACAACTGTAGCACACTCGGTTTGGCACAGTTGGACAGGGTATTTATCGGAGATACTCTAGATGTCTCACCTACAAAGGCGAAACCTGCAAGAGAACCTGTAGATCCCATCGCTGCCAGGGAAAGCGTCAAAGCGCTATCTCTTCCTCTTGGCAAACCGACGCCAGATGTGACCAAACGGAAACCATTGGAGAAGGAAGAAACACTGAGCTCACTTCACACGCGCACTGGTTCACCATTGGAAAATCCAAGCAGTCGGTTTAAAAAATCTGACAGTGAAGAGATCGCAACTAAGGTGACCTCGCATAACATCGAGTCACACAAGAGAACTGTGAAGTTAGGAGGCGACGCTGGAATGGTTCAAGGCCAAGCGGCTAAAGAACTTTTGGGAGGCATTTCGGTGTCCGAAGTCTGTACATGGCTAACCAAGCTTGGCTTAACTGAACATGTGGACAGATTTGAAAATGAGTCGATTGACGGGGATTTGCTACTAGAGTTGGATGCCGAAATGATGCTGCATCTTGGAATTTCAAATCCATTGCAGAGAAAGAAACTCGAGTTGTTTATCCGCAAGGGCTGGACTCCAAAGAAAAGCTAAGATTAATTGATCTACTAATGAGGTTTTCTGTAAGAATAGTGCTTACTGCACTCAGTAGTGTTGGTGCTGTAGCTGGCCATATTCCGGCCGTTTAAATGAATGAATTAACATGAAGAGAGGTTGATTTCTTATTTTTATGTTAAGACACCAAAGCAGACTCAACGCCTGGTTAGCAATTTTCTGTGAAACAGAGTGCCGAAAAGAGAGCATGCATGCATTTAGCCAAATTACAGTTAAGGACCCAAGTTCAATATTTCTCGGCTTTCGTCGAAGAAAGCACCACAAATTGCTATGCACAACATATATTGCTGCTTCTATTCCCCAAAACTCGAACACATAATCATCGAAAGCCATACGCAGCTGAATTTTTGGTTCGTTTCAGCTCAGTTGCCTTGGTCATGTAAAGGTGGGGGAGGGATTGTAGGAGAAGTCGAATGAGTTAGATATATAGCATATTTGATTAAACAAAACGTATTCTTGCTGCTATCGTTTACCAACAAGATTGAGTGGTTCATAATTGGGATGAAATGATAGTTCATTCCAACTATTATTCATTGCTCAAATAAAAGATCCTACTGAAGCAATAAGCTTTATGAAGAAGACTCCTGAAGCAAGATTCTGATTGCGGTCAATATAATTAAAGAGTTGTAAATAAATGCTGATTGGATAACTGAAAAAAAACAAAAAAAAAACACGCAAAAACGCTCATAAATCGACAATGACGACCACTGTTGCGCAACGTGGAAACTTCTAGACTTCCTTTCCAAAAAAATCCGTGAATATTTAATCACTTTGATATGGGTAAAACTTCACGAATAATTTTAAAAAAATCATTATGCGTGACTTATAACTACATGTAAGAACTATGTATAGTTGGTCCATTGTATGACTATAGTTTTCAGGCATGTTTACTGAAGTACTCTCAGATACTTCTCATAGCCTGTAACATATTAATTTTCACGTTGTTATTGTTAGATAGTTGTTTGTCGGTATGTAGATTCGTTGGTATGCCGGTCGCGTAATAATGTTAAGAAGTGAACATTTAATGAGTTTGTCCGTGAGGAGTTGTCACTCGCCGGCATTTCCGTTTTTGATCACTTCAATTTCCATGTTTCTTCAGTACATTTGTTGTAAAAAACTATATGCTATGGCCGATGTCTGATCAATAAAGTAGGTGCCCCAATCCTGTTCGACTGGTCTTTCTTACTTGTACTAAGTTAGATATTATTTTGTTTTCATTTCACCATAGGGTGATTAGACAACAAGATCATTTCTTTACTTTATAATCTATCTGCAATCAATATATGACTCATCACTGTTTACCTGTAGATATTCCCTTCAATCTTAATTTAACATATTCATGCTAGCGTTTAGATTTGTTATTTCTAAGGTCATTAGCTGAACATGGTTCAAACATAGCGGAGCCATCCAACATTTTGACTGAAAAGCAATACTAGTAAGATGATTTGTAAGCTCATGCAACAAAATGTTGCGTGAATTTTTGGCATGTTTGATCGTTTAGCTTGGGTTTAAGAAGTACTATATGCAACAACTATGTGCAACTGAGTGTCTATTAACTTGCATTAGGCCTCCATCCTTTTATAAACTTAAGTATTTTTTTCTGATGTAAGGGATTCCTTACTCCAAGGTCTGAGAGAGACTCCAGATCTAGTTCCATTAAAAGTTGTCCATCAATTAGGTTTCTTTGAAACATTTCAGCATACTGTCCCATGTGCAGATTTGTGAGACATTCCACTACTCCTGCCACAGAGAGGTCTTTAAGATCTTGAGAAAAAACTGAAAATTCTGAAATAGAATTAGAAAGGATCGATGGTGCGGGTACAGGTTCAATGCATAAATTCTCAGCTGGGTAATCCTGGGATTGTTCCAGACAAGAGAATACCAGAGATTGAGTCGGAAGGATTGACTGTTCAGGTATAGATCCTTCCTGGGTGGATGATTTCTGACTCGAAAATGCAGCATCTGAAGACAAGACGCTTGACGATGCTCCAGATAAAGGACTAGTCAGATGAGGTCTTTGTGGAGAGACCGCAGAATCATTAGTTTCACATTGCAAATGGCCAGAAAGGGTCGAGGGAAACTTGGTAATCACTGTTGGTAGCGAATTTCTCTTAGAACTTTTACTTTGGCCGAGTTTGTCTTTTTGACGTTTCGGTACTCTCTCACTGTCGTTGTCCATGTGGTAGCGTTCAAGTGAGAGAGCAAGATCTGAATTCCTATTCGTGAAAGAAATTTCATCATAATGATGATAATCGTCCTCCTTATCACCGCCGGTAGCGTTTGAATGCGGCAGGGATTCAACTCGAGGTGGACGAGGTCGTGCCTGGTCATCAATAGAATTGGACGGGTGTTCATTCGATGTTGTTGACAGATATTCACCCTGTATGCTCTGATGCGGTGACTGGTTTAGCCTGGCGCTAGGCGATGGGGCCTGTTTAGGAGTTTCTGGAGGTATTGGAGGTTTCGATCGCGGCGGCGATTCAACTCGAAGTGGGCGAGGTGGTGCGTGGTCATTTGAAGTGTTAGACGGGTTTTCATTCGATGTCGTCAAAACATGTCCACCAGTTCGTATCAGCATGCCGCTCAAAGATGAAGCCTGTTTAGGATTTGCTGGTTTTGGTATTGAATGTCTATGAGTGTCCTGAATCGTTTGGGATGGGAGAAAGTCTACCACTTCGTTATTTTCAATTTTCTCTTCAGCAGGATCTACAAAACATTTACACAATCTGGAACTATTTCTAAAGAGGTCGACCTTTGAGAGCTTCGTGAAATTGTGGATTGCTTTACAAAATCTGGCGTATTCTTTATCGCCCAGAATAGCTCCACGCGCGGGAAACACGTACACATCCAAATCAGTCGGAATCATTAAAACTGGATTCATGTCGTCATCCCGATTGGTAGCAGTAATTTTCGACTCTCGTCGAATGTTCGTAAGGAGAACAGAGCCTCGCGACTGGTTGTTGTTTGTATCTTGTGTCTTGCAATTTGACTTGAATTTCACTCGAACAGGAAACTCAAACCAGTCTAGGACCTCTTGGAAAGGGTATGATTCTTTTCTGGCTAAGGGCTCAAAAACAGCTCTGACATCGAAAGGGAGCTTCACAAGGTATTCAGTCTTGCGATAAAACACACATTCCAGAAACTTTATACGGTTGTGTTCGACGGTTTTGTTGAGTTTCAAGATTTGTCCTGCTCTTATACGTAACGAAGGGGGAGGCGAGTGGACTTCAACAACACGAATGAACTTGAAATCAGAGGGCGTCCAGGCGTCGACAACATCTTTCACGGTGTAATACCTGTCCTCGCAGATCCTAGGAAGTATTTCCACTTTACACTGACAATTGAGTGGTACAAAATACTGCCTGTGATCAGCATCTTCCACGAGCAGCTCAGTGGTGGCAGAGTGTAGCATAAGAATCTCCCCGGTCGAAAGAGTTTCGGTGTCATCTTTACTACAGAACCCTTCTTCGACCTTCACTACTTGTGGAAGAGTGTAGCTGTGTACAAAGCTCTTCAACGAACAAGATTCTGCGCTCCAGACGTTATTTTCAGACATTGTGTTTGTAGCGCGCTTTCATGAATGGAATGCACAAGTCTATCTCATGAAGCTGCAAGGGCTAAGTGAACTAGAATTCTCACAGCAATCTTGAGACGTTCACAAATACAAACTGATACATCTATTCATATGTTACCCTATTTTCATCCAGTAACATTGGTGGCTCGTCTTATTCATGCCGATCCGTAATTTACGAGGATAGTAATTAATATATGCGCATTTCTGACTTTGTGAACAATTGGTCTCATGCACGGATGATCAAAAGCCAAAGCAAACTATTTCCTTATTCTGACAGGAGCGAGAACTATACATTATTTCATGGTCTTTCATTGCGTTCCTCTCACAGTTGGAGGCGGGTAGCCCCCTAGTGCCTTTAGTAATTTTATTAATTAGCAGGAAATTTGTTGAGGATGGTATGGATAGGAGTTTGCTGTTTAAAGTTTAAAGTTTGCTGTTAAAGAATTGAAAGTCAATTACGCGTGACAAAGCTCATGTTTACAAAAAATGATTAAATTGTGAAGAAATAAGTCGTGATCGGTACAGACAACTGCATGAAGGCAGGCCCCCATGGAAGTTTGAGAATTTTCCAAAGAATATTGCTACCGATGTATTACTTTCTTTGTTTGCATGCGGTTATGCACAACCCAATTTATTAATTTGAACATTGCGAATCATGCAAATTTTGTTAAAATGGGCTCGATCAACCACTCATTTTATTCCAACCAATCAGTCTACAATGTGTCTTGCAAATAAAGCTACCCGTGTCTTGCAAATAAAGCTACCCGTGTCTTGCAAATAAAGCTACCCGTCGGTGAAGGTAACAGAAAATCACTGATCCTCGAGAGTCGAGACCGTACAAAAATTCAGAAATTTTGTTGAGTATATAGATTAGCTCCTATATAGATTCAAGAACTGGTTAAGAACATTTTAATTGCATCGCAGGCTACTCATCTGCGAGATTTGTCTCTTTATTCTTATCACGTATTTCTTAAGGAGAGGATACCTGTTGATCCACTTTGGGAGCGATCAAGCTATCGACACTCAACTTCCCTAAAAAGTAATTTAGAACTCTAATATTTACTCGGATCCGGATATTCTTACATGTGAAAATTTAAATTTCGCCTTTTTGAATGACATTTTATGACAAAGAATTGACAATTTAAATAAAATCTAAATATAGAAGAGACAAAGCCATATCCGGTTTTAAGGATGCAACTGATAATGAAAAATGCAGACAGGCAATTTATAGGACCAAACTTGTTATTCTGAAGAAACACGTATGCTTTGTCTGGGGGCAAGCGGAACATTATTTATCAACGTGAAGTTGATCAATATAAATTAACCGCCATCGAGAGTTTGTAAAGCTGAGGTTTCGAACGCCAGTCCGTCCGGTCAGAGTAAAGTGGAACCATTAGTAGCTAGAGGAAGAAGATACATATCGTGTATTTATACGTTTGGTGTTAAATGCGTCAAACATCACACTTCCTGACTATCATTTTCTAACCTTTGGTGGTAAACAATATACTGCACATTTTAGAAACACTTATGCTATTCCATTGCTGGCTTATTTAACCCTTTACATGGACAAATCAGATGTCGAATTAGAATGTGGCAATTTCACATGTGTTTATTTTTCTATGATGGGCGGCTGGAAGTTGTTGTTATGGCTCGGACATTAAAACAATACCTAAATCTCACGGTTTTGAAGAATATTCTGAGAGTGCCGTTTCAAGTGTAACCTCTAGGACGTTTCTTAGCTTGATCGATCTTCCTTCATTGTCTTTGTGACAGGCTTTGTCTCACACTTAGTTGATCAACAGTACTTTGGACACTGATTGACACGCACTACAACACATAAATGCTTTGCAGCACTGAAACGCTGCTGAATCGGTCACGTGGTTTTCAGTTGAATGATTGTTAACACGTGCAGTTTTCGCAAAGGTGAAAATAACTTTTACACGTTGCCATACTGCTTCGTTTTCGCGATAAATATGCATTGGATACTTTCATTTGTGGTAGACCTTTTATTAGCCTAGCTTCCTTGCCTGTCAGCGAGGCNTTCGAATGGGTGGATCATGAGAGTTGTCCATTTGGTGAAGCTGTCACCCTTCTACCCGGAGGGTCTCGGGGCTCGAAACAAAAGTCACTGTTCCCTGGGGGCCAGTCATTAAGCGCTTATTATTCTATTCTCAATAGGAAGAGCTCAATATGTATACCCTTATAGGCCGTAGCCCGTGAGCATGCTCACGTTGGAGCACAAGCGCGAACGCGAAATCGAGCGGCGAAACCGCGAGGCGAGAAAGTGAGCCTGCTCTGATCTCTGGAAATTTCTTACTTCCACCCCGGAAACCGCAGAATTGAATAAGTCAATTAATTTCACCGGAGGTATGAACTTTGACAGCTCAGATTTCTCGGGGAAATAGTAAATCTTTTCATAACAACATTTAGTTGCGATATCCGTTGTCGATTAAGTTTTGCCGAAGAAAAACTGTCAAACTTTATTTCTACTAAGGACACACACTTGATTCCAAGTGATCTTGCTTTGGCAATCTGGTCATTGGCGATGCTGATAAACGGGCAAACGCCTTCGTGTTGTTTTGTTGCCCGTTTGCAATCACATACGTTTGTAATATACACGACAAGTACGTCTTGATTCATTAACATACTTCCAACTGCTATTTCCTGCTCTCTCTTTAGTTCGAAATTTAACCAGAAATAGAATGGAACTTTGTTCGAACATCAGTAATACGCACACGCAACTCTTCCTCTGACTCCAAATGTGGACGACTTGTTTCTATAGTGCGGTAAATTACCGACTTCATGGGGATTTAAAGTGTATATGACACGAAAAATAATTTCTACTTATTTGAAAGGCCTTTCAAAATACAGAAGAACGGCGTTTCTCGTTTTGAAATATCTTTTTTCGTTTTAGAGATATTGACATTTTTCTATTAAGCAAATTACATCAGTGATGACGTCATAAGGTTTGCAACTAAGAAGTGGAAAACACAGAATAAACAATATTTCTGGAAATATTGAAGCAGTGTTCTTGAAACCTGGCACCACAAATGTGTATCACAAAAGAAACAAAATGACA